GAGAGCAGAGGTGGACTAAAGCCGAGCCTGGCTGTTCTTCACCTTTCTACCTACCTGTGATGTGAGGTTAAATTTATTTATTTATTACCGACTGCACTCCAAGTGCTCCAAGTGCGGTGTTGCTGCTCGTCCTCCCCTTTTTTAATTTTATCGCCGCACGTGCACGCATCCAACGCGGTCAAAGCGGGGTTTGCCAAACCCAAAGGACGCCACCTCGAGAACCTCGAGAGACGAGACACGAGAGCAAGAGGTGGACCAAAGCCGAGCCTGGCTGTTCTTCACCTTTCTACCTACCTAGCCGAGTATTCTCGGCACGGCTCTACGACTTATTTCCAAAATTAGCTCTGTGAACAGCGCCTTGGGCTCAACGAGGTTTGCCTCTCGCACCCCGTCTGTTTTCCTTTCCTTTTTTCTCTACAACACCCTCTCTTTTCCTCTCTATTTTCCGGGGGAAACTGCGTGGAAATCGTCAAATTTTTGGCTCCGAGCCGAGTCTGAGGCTGGTTTGGGCCCAAAATCAGCCAAATTCTAGGCCAAATCGTCAAAATGCCGGGAATTTCGCGGAGAACCCGTATACCTGGAAATTACCCTGCGACCGCCTGGGTATTTTGTCGATTTCCTCAATTTTGCCTCAGATTTTGCCCCAGACCAGCTCTCAGACTCAGGGAAACTCGCGAGTTTCCAGAATGGAGCACCAAACACCCTCTGTTTTCCCTGGAAATTTCCGGAAACGCAAAGTGCTGGGGACCCTCTGTTTTCCTTTTTGTTTTCCTGAAAACCTCGTTGAGCCCAAATCAGCGCCTTCCCTGCTCCTTCGCCTTCCCTGCGCGAGTTTTGCGCAGCAACCCGGCCGGGCAACCCTTAAAAAGAAACTTCTTCTGTGAACAGCGATTTCGGGCCCGGGGTTGTGCGTTTACGTGAACGCTGTCCGGGGTTGTGAGCCTTATTTCGAAAATTAGCTCTGTGAACAGCGCCTGTTTGTCATACATCCGGCGGCTTCCTAGCTTGTGAACAGCGCTCGGTCCTTTCGTGCTCTGGCGTTGGCGGAGGCCCTCATGCACCTTGCAACTGGGCGCGGGCGGGACTGGCGCGCACGCACTGGCACCAACACAGGCACAAGAAAAGAATTTTAAAACCCAAGAGATTCTCTTTCAGAAACTTAAATCAAAATTAGCGCTGTGAACAGCGCCTGTTTGGTCATCACCTTAACTGCATGTCGAAAACGTACACTGCCCATGTTCGCTCCTTTCGTGCTCTCCTCCCCACCCACCGCACCGACACCCGCCGCACCGACACCCGCACCCATGCCCGCGGACGTCCCCGCCGCGAACGAGGCTTGCAAGGCGCTCCGAAGCTTCTACGATGCCATTGGCGCGAAAGACAAATCGCCGTCCTTCGCGGACACGAGCTCGACCTGCTGCGCCTTTCTCGACGTGCGCTGTCACCCTCGCCGCAGGCCGTTTGCTCCCCTCCCTCACGGCCGGGCCCTTCGCGCGCAGGTGAGATGCACGCAGCCGGATGGCTCACCCAGCCCGCCCCTCGGCCAAAAAGAAGGGTGGAAAGCGGGCACCACCCTGACCAAGATCAAATTCCGAGGCGGCACCGAGCTTGGCGGTAGCGGCACGCTGCCCGGCGCCCTGCTGCTACCGCTCGCCGGCACGCTCGAGTACCTCGACTTGGGCAAGGAGGGGGATCGCTCCTTCTCGGGCACGCTGCCCGCGGAGCTGACCCAGCTCACCGCGCTCCAAAAGCTGAGTCTCACCACCGATAAGGTCAGCGGCACCATTCCGCACCAGCTCGGCCGGCTTCCCGCGCTGGAGAAGGTGACGCTCCTCTCCAAGCGCCTCTCGGGGACGGTCCCGGGCGAGCTGTGCCACAGGTCGGACGGCTCGCTCAGGAAACTGTATCTCGACGACAACGTGAAGCTCTCGGGCGCGCGCGGCGCCGGCGGGAGGTCCGGGCTCGGCGGGCGGCCCAGGTGACGAGTGGCCCGGGCCGTGTCCCGCGTAGGAACGCTGCCGCCCGAGTGCTTCCTCTTGCCCACACTCGAGGCGCCGCTGCTCCTCACCGCCGCCCTCGGGGGCTCCGCCGCCCTCGGCACCGCTGCACTCGGCTCCGCCGCCCTCGCCGCTCGGATCTCCGCCGCCGCTCCTCCTTGCTCCACATGCTCTCCACAACGCCACGCCGCAGCCCAGACGCTAGGCCAGCGCGTCTCCCCCCCCTCCCGCCGCGCAGGAAATCTCCGCCAAGAAGACGCGCATCTCTGGCACGCTGCCGAGCAAGATCACCGCGCCGCTCAGGCTGCTCATCCTCGAGGAGGTCGGCCTCTCGGGCAGCGTGCCGGAGGAGCTGTGCAAGGGCGAGAAGCTCGAGGAGCTGGTCCTCCGCCGTGCCAACCGGGTCTCCGGCACGCTGCCCACGGAGTGCCTCTCGCACGACACCATCACAAAGATCGACCTCAAGCGGACCAAGGTCGGCGGCACCATCCCGAGCCTCGACAAGGCGGTGCCCAAGCTCAAGACACTCGACCTGTCCAACTCGGACGTCTCGGGCGCAGAGACGCCCCTCGCGGGCCCGCCACTTCCGCGCCGCACGCCCGGCTGACTGCGCGGCTCGGGTGTTCCCGCCCACGCAGGCACCCTTCCCGCCTCGGTCGACATGTTCAGCGGCCTCGAGTACCTGGCCGTGGACCGCACCAAGCTCTACGGGTGAGAGCGAGGAGACTTAGCTTGAGGGCTCGCGCGAGGGGCAGTAGAGGGGGAGGGGCACCCACACGCACGCGGGAGGTTCCGCCGTGGCAGCACACATACGAAGCACTCTCCTCCCCGAAACCCACTCTCCCACCCCCGCCCCGCCGCTCCTTCCCCGCGCCACAGGATCGTGCCCGAGTCGCTAGGCGACATCAGAGGGCGCACACCCCGCTCCCCGCGCACAGCAGCCACACGTGGGTGCCCCCGGAATGCCCTGCTCTATCTCCTCACCCCCACCCCAGCACCGTTAGGCTCAAGAACGGCACGTGCACGCTCCAAAACGCTTACGACTCGGTTTTCATTTCCATCGTCTCTAAAACTTGCTGCTATTCCAACTTCTGGTGCCCCCCCCCCCCCCCCCCCGCCCTCTCCCGAACCGGGATGTGTGTGGCCCCGCGCGTGCGTGCGATGGCGAGCGGCGACCCTCGGGCGTGCTGCAGGTGCCCCCTCCCGAGCAACGCGCCGTACTGCACGGAGACCTCGAGTGGGGAGACGATAGTGTGCAGCGTCATGTCGCCTCCACCGCCGCCGCCTTCAACGCCATCGTTTGTCTCTGACACGGCTGTCGTCGTCCTCCTCATCTGTGCGATCGCCATCCCGGCCGCGGCCTGGCTGTTGTTAACCCTGTGCGAGCGCGTCGCCATCACCTCGACGGTGCGACTTGGGCCCAGCTCTCCCCCGGCCGCTACTCCCCCCCCCACCCACACACACACACCTTTTCACACACACTGGCCCCCACATCGCGCGCGCCGCCGCCTCGGCCCCTTTCCCTCCCCTCAGGTGGTGGTTCCAAAGATGACCGAGCTCGACTCCGCGGCGGTGGGGCCTTAGCCCGCAGACCTCGGGTAGGGTGCCCGCCCGGCTGCGGCTCGCACTGAGTGCGACTGCTTGTGAGCAGGTGGAGCACGTCCCGGAAGGGGAGGCAAGGCCGACGCACTACAACTGAGAGGGTCGTGCTAGTTCGGCGGGAGGGCGGTGCCCATTACCATGCATCGTGCAGGCTGCCCACCACCCCGACACCGCGGCACCGCGGCCGTGCTCTATTTCGCACACATCGGGCGCATCGCATAACCCAAACAGCCTCTCCGTTTTGTTTGGGTTATGAGAGGCTTTTGCACGCCCCGCAGCATCTCACGAGAAATGGACAGGACGCAGCCCTCTCCCTGGCCTCTGCCGCCGGCGATGCGCGAACGGGACCGACGCGTGGGTGGGGGTGGGGGGCGGCGTGACCGGTGTCTGGGCGATAAGTGTGAGCACACCGCGACACCGGCCGTCCAGAGTCCAGTCGTGTGCGTGGCGCACTTGCACATATATACCTAGAACACTGCCGTAGCGCGTAGCCCCCACGAGCTACGCTACGTATATCGCTCGCGCTGTGTGCGCGAGGGCGAGCTCTCCGACGCTCTCCTCTGCGGTGGTCTCTGCATTACGATTCTCGTAGCCCTCTCTCTGAGCTTCTCTGTAGGAAGTGCGCAAAAACGAAAAAGAATTTTACAATCGTGTTAGTGTCAGCGCGCACTAGTCCCGTGCCCAGTGTCGTTTGCTCTCTAATGGTGAACCTGTTTAGTGCCAGTGCGTGCAAGTCCCGTGCCCCGTCGTGTGGCGCCGGCACCCCAGCGTAGGAATCCTAGAGGGCGTCGTGCAGCCCTCCTTCTCTGGTATAGCAAAATTCTGTCCCCCGACGGCGTCTATCTCCCGACGAGATAGAAGCGTGGATGGCCGACCAACTCGAGGGTGCTTCTGGACCCTCGAGCTGATATTAATAGCGGCGGACGGCCGCTCCCCACGGTCCACGTCTTCTCCCCGGCCCGCCGCCCGGTCCGCCGCAGCGGGCGCCAATGCCGCCTTCCGGCCCTCCGCCCGGGTACCCACAGATGGGGTACGGCCAGCGGCCGCCGCCTGGCATGCCGCCGGGCTATGGCTTGACGAGCAACGGCTGCTACCACGGGCCACGTCCTCCCCCCGGCCCGCCGCCCGGCCCGCCGCAGCGGGCGCCAATGCCGCCTTCCGGCCCTCCGCCCGGGTACCCGCGGATGGGGTACGGCCCGCGGCTGTCGCCTGGCATGCCGCCGGGCTACCCTCCCCACATCCCTCCGCCCCGCCACCCCGGCATGGCTGGCCAGCCGCCCGACTACCCGTGCCACCACCCCAGCGGCTACGATGACCGTCGGTCCAGAAGCGAGCGCGAGCGCGACTATTACAATGAGCGCGATCAGCCACCCTCGTCTAGCCGCACTGCTGCCGGTGGTCAGCTCAACGCTAAGCAGCTCAGCAGCCACATCTCGAATGCTGGCAGCGCTGACGCACTGCTCGCGCTCTTTGCTGCCCACAGCGCGAGCTTGGACCACATCCACGCTGCGAACCTGTGGAACAAACTGGGCAAGCAGCGCGTCGAGCGGCGGCACGAGGAGCAGCTTGAGCGGCTGGTGCGGCGCACGCATGACCTCGTCTCGTCGTGCGAGGCACGCAGCCTGGCGAACATCGCCCACGGCGTAGCAAAGTGCCAGCTGCAAGTAGGGGTGGTGCGTTCGCTGTACGCGGCGGTGGCGGAGGCGGCGGTGCGCGGCGGGCTGGCTGGCTTCAACCCGCAGGACTTGTCCAACACGGTGTGGGCGTATGCGACGGCGGGCGTGGAGGCGGAGGCGCTGTACGCGGCGGTGGCGGAGGCGGCGGTGCGCGGCGGGCTGGCTGGCTTCACCCCTCAGAACCTGGCCAACACGGTGTGGGCGTATGCGACGGCGGGCGTGGCTGCGGACGAGCTGTACGCGGCGGTGGCGGAGGCGGCGGTGCGCGGCGGGCTGGCTGGCTTCACCCCTCAGAACCTGGCCAACACGGTGTGGGCGTATGCGACGGCGGGCGTGGCTGCGGACGCGCTGTACGCGGCGGTGGCGGAGGCGGCGGTGCGCGGCGGGCTGGCGGGCTTCAAGCCGCAGGACTTGTCCAACACGGTGTGGGCGTATGCGACGGCGGGCGTGGCTGCGGACGAGCTGTACGCGGCGGTGGCGGAGGCGGCGGTGCGCGGCGGGCTGGCGGGCTTCACCCCTCAGAACCTGGCCAACACGGTGTGGGCGTATGCGACGGCGGGCGTGGAGGCGGACGAGCTGTACGCGGCGGTGGCGGAGGCGGCGGTGCGCGGCGGGCTGGCGGGCTTCAAGCCGCAGGACTTGTCCAACACGGTGTGGGCGTATGCGACGGCGGGCGTGGAGGCGGACGCGCTGTACGCGGCGGTGGCGGAGGCGGCGGCGCGGAGCAGGCTGGCGGGCTTCACCCCTCAGAACCTGGCCAACACGGTGTGGGCGTATGCGACGGCGGGCGTGGCTGCGGACGAGCTGTACGCGGCGGCGGCGGAGGCGGCGGTGCGGGGCGGGCTGGCTGGCTTCAACCCTCAGGACCTAGCCAACACGGTGTGGGCGTATGCGACGGCAGACCATTATCACCAGGCGCTGCTTGCCGACTGCTCGCGCGTAATCAGCGACTCGCTCGCGCGGGATCCGTCAACGTGGAGCGTCGGGAACTGCCGTCAGCTTCACCAGTGGCAGCTCTGGCTCTCCCTGGAGCGAGGAGCAGACGGGCAGCAGCATCTCCTCCCCGCCTCTGAGCGCCAGCGTTGCTGCGACGCTATGGTGGCGACCATAGCTCGGCCATCAGGCTTGCAGCGCTCGGTTGCAGCTGTCCTCGCCGCCGTGTGGGGCCCGGGCTTTGAGGAGGAGCATCTCGAGCCGCACACCGGCTACTCTCTCGACCTGGCGTTTCCCTCGTCACGCATCGCGATCGAGGTGGACGGCCCCTCTCACTTCCTGCTGCCCGACGGCCGGGGCGTGCGCAAATCCAACGGGCCGACGCTGCTCAAGCGGCGCCTCCTCGCGGCGGCTGGCTGGAAGGTGATCAGCGTTCCATTCTACGAGTGGAACCGCTTCGCGACGGCCAATGAGAGGCAAACCTACCTGCAGGGGCTGTTGGGCTAGTTGACAGGCGCACACAAAGCACTGGCTCTCGCCGAAGGCTCTCACACATCGCCACCGATCACACCGCCGCCACCGTGCCCTCCACAGATGCCCCGATGAAATTCGCGCTGCTGCTCCTGACCCCCGCGTGCGCGATGTTCGCTCGCGCGGATCGCGACCGTCTGCTCTCCCCTTGCTGCCGCTCCTCCGCCGCCGGACTGCCCTCTCCACCACCCTCGCCCAGGGATCTACAATGCTGTCTTAAGGTCCGACAGGTTCGGCACCGGGCACCGCCTCGGTATACAAAATGCGCCTGCGGGCGGACCCTCACAGATCACAGATCACTTCCATTAATAGGGGGTAAACAGCGCCCCAAAATCCACCAGTGTGGGATGTCGCGCAATCGATTGACTCTGAAAAGCTCGCATGTACCTCAAGCTACTAGGCTAGTACTACTACTCAGAGACTATGGAACGAAAGTTCACGTCATGACGGTTAGCCGCTGTCACGACCGTTAGCCGCTGTCACGACAGCTGGGAGCTGTCATGACAGCAAACGACAGCGACAGTGACACCTACCTGTCACCAGCTGTCACCAGCTGTCACCAGCTGTCACCAGTTGTCACCAGCTGTCGTTGCTGCTGTCGTTGCTGATGTCATTGCTGCTGTCATTGCTGCTGTCGTAACCACCCCCCGACTGGTCCAACTGTGACTGCTGCTGTAATTGCGCGGCTGTCATTCCTGCTGTCATTGCTGCTGTCGTCGCTGTCGTTGCTGCTGTCATTGCTGCTGTCATTGCTGCTCTCATGAGCACCCCCGCAGGACAGTGTCACAATGGGATGTGGTGCCACTAACGAGAGAGACAGGACACTCAACTCTCAAGATATACACGCACGCGCGCGCGACCGCTCACTCGCACGCCCGACGCCACATGAGAAACCCTCTCAACAGTAGCCACGCACCGTCAGCAGCAGCGGGCGTGAGTCACAGAATCTGCAAAACCCTTGCCCTCCTTCCTCCAGCATGTGCCGTGATGGGCTCCAGCGCTGGTTCATCTGCCGCTCAAAAATCTCACGCGAGCGAACGGCGTCAATCATCAACCGCGAGGATTGGGACCTTGAAATCCACGATCGCAAGCAAACGCGCAGAGCATTGAGCAACACACCTCGGGTATTGAACCTCTTGGCCATTGCCAAGCCACAGTTATCAGGATTTCTCATGTACAGAGCTCGGCTCTGCTACAAGAAAGCAGGCTCACCCTACACAGAGAAATTCTGAGGTAGAGGAGCAGGAGTTTTGCAAAATGTGTGAGACGTACAAAACGCTGCTGTGCATCAAGCGCTGAGAGCTACATCCACGCGCACCGGTGTCTTATTTTAGTCCATCGGGTGTAATGCACAGATGGGTGGGTGGGCGGTTGGGCCCCTTCGCTGGTGCCTGTCACTAGGGCTATGGCTGCCTCACTGTGGCGCTGGCGCTGCCTCGCTGTCGCTGTCGCTGTCGCTGTCGCTGTCGCTGTCACTCGCAGGGTCCCGCGCTGACATTGTCACCGCCTGTCGCTGGCGTTCACTGGCTTCACTGTCACTGTCACTATGGCTGTCACTGTTCCTGGGTGCCTTTCACTCCTCGAAAAAACTCGGACCCACGTAGACAAGGAGCGCGCGCCAATGGCCGCCTCCGTGACACTCCCACCTCCTGGGCCGGCGCGGGAGTTTTACTGCCGAGTTTCTCCCGGCCGGCCGCCTCCTGACACGCCCACTGACCGAGCCCATCAAAAAAATCCGGCGCCCCGCACTGCTCTGACCCCTGCTCGCCACTGCTCGCCACTGCTCGCCACTGTCGCCTCGGTTGCCGAGGCTGCCGCGCACCCGCACGCCCGCGTCGCTGCGCGACTACGAACTGCACCAGCTGGGCTCGAACCAACGACCAAAACGTCCCCGACCCGAACGCTGCACCAACTAGGCCACGCCCCAGGTTCGATCTGCAATACGCACAAAAATGGCCGCTCATAAAGCACTACTCATTTGCCGAGGCCACGCGGCGCCCCTCCACAGCCAGCCTACCCTCCTATCGCGCCACTCGAAGCCCCGCGGCCGCCTCTCGCCTACCGCGCTGCCCTCGCCTGCCACCGCACCGCCCGCGCTCCAGCCTAACCAGCTCTGCATCTCGCAACACACACTTGACAGGGACAGACCAGGCGCAGGAAAAGGGAGCGGGGCCCGAATCCAAGGGACCACCCCGTCGGGCGGAGGAGCTGTGAACTCAGGTCCAGCAGGAAGGCTGCTGGCTCCTGACTCATCCCCCAAATCCCCCACACCTTGGCGGCCTGAAACCTTACCATTCCGACACCTCACACACACCCCTCCCCTAGGGCTAAGCAGTGCGCGAGCCCACCCGACTGAGACGTCGACCACTCCTCGGGAATAGTTCTGTCAGTGGCTGCACTAGACGCCCACAGAGGCGCGCGGCGCGGGCAGATGACTAGGGGAGAAAAAGCGGAGAACCTAGCTCGCTGGGAGATGTGCGCAACCTAAAGACGGGAATAGGGGAGAAGTGTCAGTGTGAGGGGAGGGCGTAGGCTGGCGTTTTTGCCTTTGAAAACTGAACAGTTTTTTTTGCCTTTCACTCCTCCCTGGCAGCTAGCTGGCTGTCACCAGCTGTCACCAGCTGTCACCAGCTGTCACCAGCTGTCGTTGCTGCTGTCGTTGCTGCTTCGTTTCGCAGCCGCTGTCACACATAGTGACCACGTCGCGACCGTTAACAGCGGTTTTAACCGTCATGACGTGAGGTCGACAAAACTCCCTCGCACGACACTGGACTATCGCGCCTGGCACTACGCAAAAAAGAAACAGCGCGATGCTTGTGGAATGGATGCGAAAATGGGCCGGCGAAGCCGGAACAGGAATCACACCGCGACACCGGCCGTCCAGAGTCCAGTCGTGTGCGTGGCGCACTTGCACATATATACCTAGAACACTGCCGTAGCGCGTAGCCCCCACGAGCTACGCTACGTATATCGCTCGCGCTGTGTGCGCGAGGGCGAGCTCTCCGACGCTCTCCTCTGCGGTGGTCTCTGCATTGCTACGATTCTCGTAGCCCTCTCTCTGAGCTTCTCTGTAGGAAGTGCGCAAAAACGAAAAAGAATTTTACAATCGTGTCAGTGTCAGCGCGCACTAGTCCCGTGCCCAGTGTCGTTTGCTCTCTAATGGTGTACCTGTGCCAGTGCGTGCAAGTCCCGTGCCCCGTCGTGTGGCGCCGGCACCCCAGCGTAGGAATCCTAGAGGGCGTCGTGTAGCCCTCCTTCTCTGGTATAGCAAAATTCTGTCCCGACGGCGTCTATCTCCCGACGAGATAGAAGCGTGGATGGCCGACCAACTCGAGGGTGCTTCTGGACCCTCGAGCTGATATTAATATGCGGCGGACGGCCGCTCCCCACGGTCCACGTCTTCTCCCCGGCCCGCCGCCCGGTCCGCCGCAGCGGGCGCCAATGCCGCCTTCCGGCCCTCCGCCCGGGTACCCACAGATGGGGTACGGCCAGCGGCCGCCGCCTGGCATGCCGCCGGGCTATGGCTTGACGAGCAACGGCTGCTACCACGGGCCACGTCCTCCCCCCGGCCCGCCGCCCGGCCCGCCGCAGCGGGCGCCAATGCCGCCTTCCGGCCCTCCGCCCGGGTACCCGCGGATGGGGTACGGCCCGCGGCTGTCGCCTGGCATGCCGCCGGGCTACCCTCCCCACATCCCTCCGCCCCGCCACCCCGGCATGGCTGGCCAGCCGCCCGACTACCCGTGCCACCACCCCAGCGGCTACGATGACCGTCGGTCCAGAAGCGAGCGCGAGCGCGACTATTACAATGAGCGCGATCAGCCACCCTCGTCTAGCCGCACTGCTGCCGGTGGTCAGCTCAACGCTAAGCAGCTCAGCAGCCACATCTCGAATGCTGGCAGCGCTGACGCACTGCTCGCGCTCTTTGCTGCCCACAGCGCGAGCTTGGACCACATCCACGCTGCGAACCTGTGGAACAAACTGGGCAAGCAGCGCGTCGAGCGGCGGCACGAGGAGCAGCTTGAGCGGCTGGTGCGGCGCACGCATGACCTCGTCTCGTCGTGCGAGGCACGCAGCCTGGCGAACATCGCCCACGGCGTAGCAAAGTGCCAGCTGCAAGTAGGGGTGGTGCGTTCGCTGTACGCGGCGGTGGCGGAGGCGGCGGTGCGCGGCGGGCTGGCGGGCTTCAACCCTCAGAACCTGGCCAACACGGTGTGGGCGTATGCGACGGCGGGCGTGGCTACAGAGGCGCTCTTTGCGGCGGTGGCGGAGGCGGCGGTGCGGGGCGGGCTGGCTGGCTTCAACCCTCAGGACCTAGCCAACACGGTGTGGGCGTACGCGACGGCGGGCGTGGCTGCGGAGGCGCTTTTTGCGGCGGTGGCGGAGGCGGCGGTGCGCGGCGGGCTGGCGGGCTTCGAGCCGCAGGACTTGTCCAACACGGTGTGGGCGTATGCGACGGCGGGCGTGGCTGCGGAGGCGCTGTACGCGGCGGTGGCGGAGGCGGCGGCGCGGAGCGGGCTGGCTGGCTTCACCCCTCAGAACCTGGCCAACACGGTGTGGGCGTATGCGACGGCGGGCGTGGCTGCGGACGAGCTGTACGCGGCGGCGGCGGAGGCGGCGGCGCGCGGCGGGCTGGCTGGCTTCACCCCTCAGAACCTGGCCAACACGGTGTGGGCGTATGCGACGGCGGGCGTGGCTACAGAGGCGCTCTTTGCGGCGGTGGCGGAGGCGGCGGTGCGCGGCGGGCTGGCTGGCTTCAACCCTCAGGACCTAGCCAACACGGTGTGGGCGTATGCGACGGCAGACCATTATCACCAGGCGCTGCTTGCCGACTGCTCGCGCGTAATCAGCGACTCGCTCGCGCGGGATCCGTCAACGTGGAGCGTCGGGAACCGCCGTCAGCTTCACCAGTGGCAGCTCTGGCTCTCCCTGGAGCGAGGAGCAGACGGGCAGCAGCATCTCCTCCCCGCCTCTGAGCGCCAGCGTTGCTGCGACGCTATGGTGGCGACCATAGCTCGGCCATCAGGCTTGCAGCGCTCGGTTGCAGCTGCCCTCGCCGCCGTCCAGCACGGCTTTGAGGAGGAGCATCTCGAGCCGCACACCGGCTACTCTCTCGACCTGGCGTTTCCCTCGTCACGCATCGCGATCGAGGTGGACGGCCCCTCTCACTTCCTGCTGCCCGACGGCCGGGGCGTGCGCAAACCCAACGGGCCGACGCTGCTCAAGCGGCGCCTCCTCGCGGCGGCTGGCTGGAAGGTGATCAGCGTTCCATTCTACGAGTGGAACCGCTTCGCGACGGCCAATGAGAGGCAAACCTACCTGCAGGGGCTGTTGGGCTAGTTGACAGGCGCACACAAAGCACTGGCTCTCGCCGAAGGCTCTCACACATCGCCACCGATCACACCGCCGCCACCGTGCCCTCCACAGATGCCCCGATGAAATTCGCGCTGCTGCTCCTGACCCCCGCGTGCGCGATGTTCGCTCGCGCGGATCGCGACCGTCTGGTCTCCCCTTGCTGCCGCTCCTCCGCCGCCGGACTGCCCTCTCCACCACCCTCGCCCAGGGATCTACAATGCTGTCTTAAGGTCCGACAGGTTCGGCACCGGGCACCGCCTCGGTATACAAAATGCGCCTGCGGGCGGACCCTCACTCACAGATCACAGATCACTTCCATTAATAGGGGGTAAACAGCGCCCCAAAATCCACCAGTGTGGGATGTCGCGCAATCGATTGACTCTGAAAAGCTCGCATGAGGCATGTACCTACCTCAAGCTAGCTACTACTCATTGTGACAACGACCTCCGATTGTGTTTTTGGTCGCCACAGACTGGGTCCGACTTGAGTGACTTGACGGGCGCATGGAGACGTGAGGTCGACAAAACTCCCTCGCACGACACTGGGCACGGGACTGGCTCTTCGGCACTTACTGCGCAAAAAGAAACAGCGCGATGCTTGTCGATGGATGCAAGCCGGCGAAGCCGGAACAGGAATCACACGCCATGAAGGTGAACGGATGTGCCTTGACGCTGCTCGCCGGCGCCGCTGCGCTGCATGTCGGCGTGCCTCCTGCCCTCTCGTCGTCGCATCGCCGCGTGCCCGCCGCGCTCATGCAGCAGCAGAGCGTCAGCCAGCCGTCCGAGGTGGAGCCACTCGCCGCCGCGGCCGGTGAGACCAACGTGGTCGGCGCCGAGGTGGAGCAGACGAACGAGCGATTCACGCCCATCACGCTTCAGTCCTTGGACACCTGGGCGGAGAAGTTCCCCCGCCTACAGGACAAGCTCGCCGACATCAAGATGTCGTCACTCATCTTCCCGTTCAAAGCGTCGCCTTACCTGGTCGAGGAGCTGGTGCGCCACAGCGCGCCCTCCCGCTCGCCCGCGCGCCTCCGACCGGGCGCCGCCCGCCCCCGCGCCGCAGATTGACTGGGAGATGGAAGGCGACATCTCGACCGACCCGTTCTACCGGCTCATCTTTCCGACGATGGACATGCTCGAGCCGTCGGCGCGGGCGACGCTCGAGGAGGCGTGCGCCACGAAGGAGCCGCTGACAATCAAGGCGGCCGTCGAGGAGATCCGCGAGGAGCTCAACCCGCACCCCGCGGGGCAGAAGGCCCTCAACGCGCCGAAAAAGGCGGAGCTGACGGGCGTGCAGCACAAGTACTCTGAGACGGTGTTGTTCTTCGCCTCTGCGGCGCAGACGTGCCACGCGTACTGCACGTACTGCTTCCGCTGGGCGCAGTTCATCGGCGACTCGGACCTGCGCTTCGCGCAGAAGGACGCGGGCTCGCTCTTCGACTACCTCGCCGAGCACGAGGAGGTCTCCGACATCCTCTTCACCGGCGGCGACCCGATGATCATGAAGACGCGCGCGCCGTCTGCATCGCCGAGAGGTCGACACACCGACACGCGGGCTGCTTCACGCCCGCTGGTGTGGAAACAGGCGCGTCTTCAAGCAGTACTTCGAGCCCTTCAAGGACCCGACCTTCCTGCCGCACGTCAAGAACCTGCGCATCGGCACGCGCGCGCTTACGTTTTGGCCGCAACGCTTCACGACCGACGCCGACGCCGACGAGCTCCTCGCGCTGCTGCGCGAGGTCAAGGAGGTGGGCGGGCGGCACATCGCGGTGATGTCGCACCTGGGCCACGTGCGTGAGCTGTCGACCGACAAGGTGCGGCACGCCATCCACCGCCTCAAGCAGGAGGCGGGCGTGATCATCCGCTCGCAGTCTCCGGTGATGCGCGGCATCAACGACGACGCGAAGGCGAGGGGCACCGGGGCGCGAGGGCGCGGCTGGCAACGCCTCTCTCACGCCTCCCCGACCCTGCCTGCAGGTGTGGGCCGACAAGTGGCGCGAGGAGGTGCGGCTCGGCATCGTCCCGTACTACATGTTCATGGCGCGCGACACGGGCGCGCAGGCCTTCTTTGACGTGCCACTCGTGCGCGCGCAGCAGCTCTACGCCGACGCTATCCGCAACACGTCCGGTCTCTGCCGCACCGCTCGCGGCCCGTCGATGAGCTGCACCCCCGGCAAGGTCGAGGTGGTTGGAACGCAAGAGGTCATGGGTGTGCCCCGCCTCTGTGCTGCGCTTCCTCCAGCGTGAACAGCGCCTCTTCACACCTCCAGCTGTGAACAGGTGTGCCCGCCTTTGTGCTGCGCTTCCTCCAGTGCCGCGACGAGAAGTGGATCGGCAAGGTCTTCTTCGCAAAGTACGACCCCAAGGCGGTGTGGTTCGACGACCTGGAGCCGCTCGACGGGATGGAGCTGCCGTGGGAGTACACGGGCTTGCCGCGGCCGTGCATCGACGAGGCGTGTCAAATCGAGTACCTCATGTCGCAAGAGAACGCCTGAGGTGCGCGCAGAGACACGCAACCAGAGAGGGGGATCTGCCTCGATCGGACCTCGAGGATCTGTCTTGCGTGTGCGCGGCGGCGACCCGCGCCACGCGAGCCATTTCCGGCCGCCTCTCCGCCTTGGTGCCGTCCCGTGTGTCCCAGGGCGCGCCCTGCGACTGTCCTCTGTCGGCGAGCGTCGCCACATCTCGGTGTCGGGGGGACACGTATCGTCTCCCGTGGGCACTTTTTGATCTTTGCGCACTAGTGCGGTGCCGGTGGCGCTGACCGCTGTCGAGTGTCGTCTGTACACATTGTTCTCTGGAGAACAGCAATAACAGTCTTTTCGCTGCTTTTCGCCCGGCGCAAAAACACGAAAACGAAAACCTTGCCAGGGGTCAAAACCCACGACCCTGTTCTCTCGCGAGCCGCGACGCGTGCGGACGAGAGCGAAGAGGTTCGCGTCGACGCGGCACTATGTTGGTCGCTCGCGCTCTCTCTCTTATCCGCCGCAAATACACCTCTTTGACCGCTTCGCACTCCGCATCATCCCTCATCTGTGTTTGACACGCCGAGCCTCCTCTCGCGCTCAGCGAGCCGCGCGAGCCGCGCAGCCTCGCGCTTGTCTAGCAGGCCACGCCCGTCGCCCTTGCCCTGCGAGTTGAGTAGGGGGCACCGCTGTCAGCGGCGCGTCGATGAGAGGGCGGTTGGGGCGGGCGAGGGTGGTGCGGGAGCGGGCGTGCGCGGCGGCGCGCCAGATAGACTGGGTGGTTGGCGGTGTCGCGCTCGAGCTGAAGCATCGATCCGACCGCTCGCACTGCGGAGGGCGCGCGATAGGTGGAGCCGTCCGACATGACCACCGTCACCGTGCGGTAAAGGCTCGGGACGAGACGAGGGTTCGGCGCCATTTTTGCAGGGCGCGCAGCGAGCCCAGACAGAGCTGCGTCACACGCCGGCAAGCAAAGCAAGAAAACGTGCGCCCAAGCGACGCGACGCGACAGAGGAAGAACCGACAACGGACAGCACGACGAGAAGGGGGCGACCGCGAGGTGGCAAGAAGGTTGAAGCGAGAATTGGAGAGAGACTGCACGGGCTCGCTGCAGTGGTGGTTGTGGGGCGAGGCGAGAGGGTACGCGCGGGGGCAGCTCTCTTCTCGCGCCGCGTCGCGCCGGGCGAGGGGCGAGGCGAGAGGCAACCATGGCACCTGCAATCTCTTCTCGCGATGTTTCGGTGGGCAACACGCACGAAACAAGGGAGCTAGCTACGTTTTTTTTCATGCGTGCACAGGCGTGTAGACGCTACAAGACTCTGTGTGACACATTTCTTGTTGGCTTCTAAAAATCTCTCTCTCTAGACGCTATCGACTGGCCGCCCTCAGAGGTAATCGTGACACACGAGTGATGCACAGCCGTTGTGAGCCACGTGCACGTCGCCCGCCGGGCGGAGAGAGCGCGCCACGCGCTGCGCCACACACGCTCCGCACAGCTCGCGCCGCCCATGCGCCCAGGAGAGAGCACGGGCGCCGAGGAGAGAGCAGGGCGCCCAGGAGAGAGCAGGGGCGCCTTTCCCGCCACACGCGAGAAAAAAGAAAATGCCGCCGCAGCGGGAGCGCGAGCGCCGGATGAGGTGGGCGGTTGCGCCGAGAGGCGGCCGCAGCCGGGGCTGGCGGCGGCGCCGCCGCGGCGGGCCGCTGTCACGGACATTCGGGGTACCCCCGGAGGTGTGCCAGGCCCAGGAGCAGGCAGCCGCTCACTGGCCCCGCGCCCACGCCTCGATCTTCTTGGGCAGCAGCTGGTGCTGCAGGTCACCGTGGCCCAGCTGGCCGTAGAGACCATAGCCCCAGCTCCAGACACCGCCGTCGGCGGTGATGGCGAAGCTGTCGTGCGCTCCAGCCGACACGGCGACGACGCGCCGGCCAGCCAAGGCCTCAATCTTCTTCGGCAGGAGCTGCCTCTCCGCGTCGCCGTGGCCCAACCGGCCAAAGTATCCCTCACCCCAGCTCCAGGTGGAGCCGTCGGCGGTGATGGCGAAACTATGGGCGGATCCAGCCGACACAGCGACAACGCGCCGCCCAGCGAAGGCCTCGACCTTCTTCGGCAGCAGCTGGCGCTGCTGGTCGCCGTGGCCCAACCGGCCAAAGAATCCAACGCCCCAGCTCCAGACGGCGCCGTCGGCAGTGAGGGCGAGGCTGTGGCAGCCTCCAGCCGACACAGCGACGACGCGCCGCCCCGCCAAGGCCTCGACCGTCTTGGGCAGCAGCTGGTTCTGCTGCTCGCCGTGGCCCAGGCTAAAAAACATTCCATCGCCCCAGCTCCAGACGGAGCCATCGGCGGTGATGGCGAGGCTGTGATTGCGACCAGCCGACACAGCGACGACGCGCCGCCCTGCAAAGGCCTCGATCCTCTTCGGCGGCAGCTGGCTCTGCTCGTTGCCGTGGCCCAACCACCATCCTCCAAAGCCCCAGCTCCAGACGCTGCCGTCGGCGGCGAGGGCGAGGCTGTGGTTCTCTCCAGCCGACACAGCGACGACGCTCTGGCCAGCCAAAGCCTCGATCTTCTTGGGCTGCCACTGGTTCTGCTGGTCGCCGTGGCCCAAATCGCCAATGGATCCCCAGCCCCAGCTCCAAACGGCGCCGTCGGCGGTGAGGGCGAGGCTGTGGCCAACTCCAGCCGCTACGCTCACGGCGCGCTCGTCACCCAACGTCGACGGGAGGCGGGTCGGCGTATTGAGCCGCTTCACGCCCTCGCCGTGGCCAAGAAGGCCTGGAAACTCCTGAAACTCCTCGTCCTCCTCCTCCTCCTCCTCGCCCTCCGCTGACCCGCACGACGAGAGCCGCCCCTCGCCGTCGATGAAGAGGCTGTGCCGACCGCCTGCCGCCACCCTCGCCGGCGGGTTGGACTCGTGCAGCAACGCAGCGAAGCACAGCCTCCGCACGGCGCAGTCCTCGTCCTCCGGCTGCGCTGGCAGCTCGAAGCCGCGCTCTTGCGCCCACAAGCGGATGCCCTGCTCCGCGAGCGAGTGAAAGAGCAGCGAGACGGCCGCGACGCGAGCGATGTCGACGGGGCTGGCGAAGCGAGAGAGGACGCGCTCGAGGAGCTCCCTGGGAAGGTCGAGGAGGTGGGCGGGCGGCGGCGCGTCTGGCGAGGGAGCGGCGGTGGAGGCGGAGGCGAGGCGGCGCGAGCGGCGGCGCGGCGGGGTGATCCCGAGGAAAAGAAGAAGTTTCTCGCGGACGCGCAGCCCCAAGATGCGCCGCAATGCTGAACGTGCTGCGTAGTTTTTCTTTCTGAGCTTAGCCTTCGATGTAATGAATTTTCTTTCTTAGTCCGGAGTTTTAGCTTAGCGCCCGTGGCCGTAGACGGAATGCCGCTTGCGCTTCAGTCGGCTCAGTGAATCACTTATTCAGTGTTCAGTCTTCGATAGAGAGTTTACAGAGAGAGCAGGCAGGCAGGCAGGTAGATAGATCCTCTCTGAGACTGAGTGAGTGAGTGTCTTGTTTGTGCATGTGTGTGCCATTCCCTCGCCGGCCACACACCCAAGAAAGGTTGGAGTACAGGTGTTGAACGGCGCCGGCCTGCCGTCTGCCCACCTCAGGAAAGCGATCATATTTTTTCTCTCTCTTCTTTTGGCTTTGACCGGAGAACCCAGAAAAACCCAGAAAGTGAGAGACTCCATCGTTCAAAGCAAGCACCATGTCCCGCCCCTACTCCGACAACCAGCAAGCCTACGGCCAGAGGTACAACGGCGACTACGACACGCACGCGGCGCACTACAACTCCGTGAAGGAGCTCAAACACTTCGGAGTCTCTACGAGCAAGTACGAGGACAACGACGCCAACTACCACAACGCCAACGAATTCACCAACCTGTCGGTCCACAACCGCATCGACAAGCTGCTTATGGATAGCCACCGCACCCGTGCCGAAGAAATCAACGGCTTCAGCTACACCTCGGGCGGCGAACAGGTGTACGTGTCCCCACAAGAGATGGCGGACCGCGTCTACCACAAGATCGACGCTGCGAAGGCAACCGGAGCGATGGACAACGAGCGCTACCAGAACTACCTGCGCCGCTCCGCCGAGCGCCTCAACATGGACATGCGCGCCTTCAACGGATGTTGAATTCCGAGCACCGCTCCCACGCACACCTTACAAGCGGGGCAGACGAGTGTATTGTGCAGGTTGGGGTCGACATCCACGGATCATCCAGGCTCCAGCTCAGCGTATGGGGGGAAATGGCCAACGAGGACTAGTGACTCACACGTGCAGGCACGCATCGCCAGAGCGCAACGCCACCAACCCGTTAAACCCGCCGCCAGCCGGGTCTCCCGGGGGGGTTGGCGGCGGCGGCGGGAGCCGCGGCTGCGAGGGCCGCTCCCACCTCACAGCCTTGGTCTGGGTGTGGTAGTAGTACGGGCGGCCGCTCTCCAGGTCGCACGCCTCGACCCACTGCTCGTCGAAGTCGGGCGCCGCGGCCGCCTCCTCGTCGGACCACTTTTTGAGCTCCTTGACGAGCCTGGGGGGGGGCGGGGGGGGGGGGGCGGTGTTTGGGGGGGGTACCGTCTGCAAAACTAGGCGGCGCAGGCACCCCCCACTAGGGCCGAGGACAAGAAGCCGTTTGTCGCCGTTGCTTGTTCTTTTGCTTGTTGATCCAGTCGGTACGCTTCTTGCGCGCCTGCTTGTTGATGTTGTCGGCGTCGCCCGCCACCGCCGCCTTGGAGATCTGCTGCGTGTGGTGGACGACGAAGCACGAAGGAGGAGGCGCTCGCCGACGCCGCCCCGTACATACACCGTCCGGTCCGTGTTGGTGCCCGCCGCCTCCTTGGCGAACACGTGGAGGAACTGCTTGGTGGGCGGCGCAATGCCTCCCAAAGTTTCCACGAGCACCACCACCAACCAGCCGCGTTATGGCCTTCTTGGCCCACTTCGCGTCGTAGTTTTAGGTGTAGTACTGCGCCTCCATCCACTTCCAGCCCGTATCCGTCTTGACCCACCCCTTTCCATACGCGTGGTCTTTGACCCATAGAGAGAGAGGGAGGGGAGAGAGAGAGAAGAGATGTCTGTAGAGAGAGAAAGAAAAAATCACCTAACGCTTAGTCAACCACGGCGGCGTGTCGCGCTCGCGTGCGCGTGCGTGCGGCAAGAGCTGCGATGCGTTCGCGCGTCGCCGCCGACAGCTTTGTGTCCGCTTCTTACTTGCGCGACCAGCTCCTCCTCGCGTCGCGCTCGAGCGAGAACCTCGTGGACGGCTGTGTCGGCGGCTTCTCCCGCACGTCGTCGCTGGCCGACCTGGCGTACGTCGCCGTGCCGGGTCTGACACAGCGCGTTGTGCACAACCGATCGGTGGTGTCGCTGGCCAACCTGTCCGACAACTTTTCCGAGATACCGGCGCACGAGTCTCCGGTCGTCCTCACCGGCGGCTCCTCTCGCCCGCTTGCCGGCGCGGCTGCCGTCGCCATGCTCTCGACGCTAATGTGCGGGTACAGCCTCGGGAGCATGAACACGCTGGCCAAGCCGCTGCGCGCCGCGCTGGGAATCCCTCCCGCAGCGCTCACGCCTGAGGGCGTCGCCATCCCGCTGCCGTCCAACGACCTTCTCTGGTCGCTTATCGTGTCCATCTTTATGCTTGGCGCGCTGCTGGGCTGCAACGCCACGACGGCGCTCACGGACCGTTGGGGCCGCAAGACGTACCTGCTCTGGGTCACCGCCGTCTTCTTCGTCGGCGCCCTCCTCGAGGCAGCGAGCGCGCTGCCCGAGTGCGCCGTCGCCGGCGGGTGGCTGGTCTGCTTCGACCGCGTGCTGCTGCTGCTGCTGGGCCGGCTCGTGTCCGGCATCGCGTGCGGCGGTGCCGCGGTGGTAGTCCCGCTCTACCTCGGCGAGGTCTCCCCCGCCCACCTGCGAGGCGCGCTCGGAACCGCAAACCAGCTCGCCCTCGGCCTGGGGATGCTCGCCGCCCAGCTGCTCGGACTGCCGGCCGGACTCGGCACTCTGCAGGGCTGGCCCGTCCTGCTCGGCCTGCCCGCGCTGCCCGCGCTGCTGCAGCTCCTCTTCCAGCCCCTCCTGCTCGAGTCGCCGCGGTGGTACGTCGTCATGGGCGCGCTGCGCTGCCCGCGCCGCCCCACCCACCCCCGCCCCCGCCCGCCCCTCTTTGGTGGGCTCATCCCCTCTGCGCGCCCGCCGCTGCCGTGAGCAGGCAACGACATCATGGCGGAGGAGATGCTGGTGCCGCCCGGCCCGCCGCCCCGCACATGCACCGCCTTTCCCCGAGGGAAGCCGCGCCTCGCCCCCGCCCGCCCGTGCCCCGCAGGTCCAGCTACGGGACCGCCCTCCCGACGACCTGGAGGTGCAGGAGGAGCTCTACTGCATGCTCGAGGCGGCGCGGCGCGGCCACGACCTGCTCCAGATCCAGCTCGAGCGCTCGCTCACGCGAGCCTCTTCCCACTCCTCGTGCGGCTCCAACCTAGGCGCCCAGTCCCAAGCGATGGGCGCCACCGGCTGCGGCTCGGCCCTCCCGGCCGCGCACATGAGCCTCGACGACGTCGCTCAGCTCCGGGCGCCGCCCATCTGGCAGGTCCCCCCCCCACACACACACCACCACCACACACCACCACCACCCTCCCTCCCTCCCTCTCCCTCTCCTCTGCCGTGTGGGGACGCGCTGTCCTCGTCGCACCGGCCACCGCGTTTCCCTCTTCGCGTCGCCGCCAGGCGGTGGCAACGCAGCCCGCCGTGCGCCGCGCGCTGCTCATCACAGTCAGCCTCACCGCGCTGCAGCAGCTCTCTGGCGTGGCAAACCTCTTCAACTTCTCCTCCACCTACCTGCTCGCCCGCGGCTTCTCCGACGCCACCTGCGCGAGCGTCGCCGTCGCCGTGCACGCGAGCAACGTCTGCGCCACGCTGCTGACCGCCCTGCTCATGGACTACCTCGGCCGCCGGCGTTTGCTCCTCGCCTCCACGTTCGGCGCAGCCGCCTGCGCCGCACTCCTCACTTTGGCGGCCGCCAGCCCGCTCGAGCCGTGGGCGCCGCCGCTCTGCATCGCGGCGGCAGCCGGTTTCGTCGGGTCGTTTGCGCTCGGCCTCGGCCCCGTCGCATTGCTGCTGCCCGCAGAGGTTTTCCCCGCGGCGTACCGCTCGACGGGCGCCGCGCTCGCCTCCTCGGTGCATTGGACGGCGCAGTTCGCGACGACCTTCGTCTTTTTGCTCCAAGCCGAACGGCTCGGGGCGGCCGCTTTCGTGCCGCACGCTGCCCTGCTGCTCTTCGGGCTCGTTTTCGCGGCCGTCCACGTGCCCGAGACTCGAGGTAAGTCGCTCGACCAGATTGAGAAGGAGCTCTCCCGTTCTTGAGGGTAGAGGGTACGTTTTTTTGGTATCTTTTGAGAGGGCGCCTGAGTGTGGATTGTGGGGGAGGATTGTGTCGATTGTGATCCGAGCTGTCACAGTCTGGTGACGTCAGCTCGACGTGGTGGTGCCTGGTCCTGGAAGCTACCGCCCGGCCGCCCGCAAGCCGCATCGGCGACGGCGTGGCATCGGCGGTATGAAACATGAGGCTGTTATACTAGAAAGCAATAATCCTGGAAGAAAACCGGGTGCGCTCGTCGTGTCTCGCCGCCGTAACGCGCAGACGGCAGAGCAGTCGGAGTCGCCAACGGCGCAAAATCCTACTCTCTCGCTAACCCGCGCCGGGGATCGAGGCGGCCGCGGCCTTCCGGGCCTCCCAGCCCGCTGTCTCAACGGCCTCCGCCTTCTCGAGACAAGCCGCCGCCAACCCTGGCTGGCCCGCGGCCTCGTGCACAAGCGCCAACGCGCGGTGCGCCCTGCTCGCGCTTGCAGGGTCCTGCTCCGGGGCGGTGGTGACCGCTTCAAGCAGCGCCGTCGCCTCGGCCTCCGCCCCCGGCCCTCCTCCCTCCTCCCCGGCGGCGAGGAGCGCGACGGCGAGGTTGACTCGCTCGAGCGGCCGGGCGAAACCGGACGCGTGCGACGCCTCGCATGCCTCGCGGGCGAAGCGGACAGCGGCCGCGCCACCGTCGGGGGTCGCCAGGTGGCGCAAGCAGAGCAGGCCGAGGAGGTCGGCGCGCTCCAAGTGCGAGGTCGCGATCCCGAGGCCCGCCTCGAGGCTGCGCTGCGCCTCGGCGGCGGCCGCGGCGGAGCCGAGCGGAGGGACCGGCTCCTCCCTCGCGCCACGCCCGCCTCCTCCCGGGTGGAGTGCGAGCGCCGCCGTCGTCGTCTCGACGCTCTCTTCGACCGGCGGTGTCGCCGACCCGACGCCGGCGGCGGGGTCACCGAGTAGAGCGAGCGCGAGCGCGCCGGAGAGCCGCGCGTGCGCCGACGAGGAGTGCAGTGCTGCGTCCTCTGCCAGCGCAGCCCGGAGGCCGCGCACGCACTCGGCGCGCGGCCTCGAGCCGTGGCGCGTCGCGGCGAGGAAGAGGTTGTGCGCGTCGTCGCAGGCGGCGCCGCGCAGGCCGTTGATCGACGAGATGGAGTGCGCCTGCCGAGGGGGCGCGTCGCGGCGGCGGGTCGGCAGCGGGTCGCCCTTCTCTTTGGCGAGGGCGGCGGCGGCGCTCCTTGTCGAGCGGGCCGTGCTTCCAGAGGCCGGACCAGTCTCTAGTGTCTAGGAAGTGTCCAGGCAGTGTCTAGGAAGTGTCTAGGAAGTGTCTGCTCCTTGTCGAGCTTGTCGATGGCAGACGCGACGCGGTCGGGCGCGATGCCGTGCTCGAGCTGGAGGCGCGCGTAGCTCGAGTGCGCCGCCGACAGCGCGCGCGCGTGGCCGAGCGCGTGCGCCGCCGCGAAGGCGCCGCGCAGCGCTTCACCTGCGGCGGCGACGCGCCGCTGCCCCCGCAGTGACTCCCCGAGCGCAAGCCGGCAGACGGCGAGGCCATGGCTGTCGCCGCTCTCGGCCGCCACGGCAAGGCCCTCCCTCGCCGCCGCCTCCGCCTCTCCCCACCGCCCGTGCCGCGCGAGCAGCGCCTATAGAGGCCGAACCCCGAGCCTCTGTGCCGGCTGCGGCGACGGCCAGGCCTCCACACAGACGGCCCGGCGGCGCCGAGGAGGTGCCGAGCAGCCGCAGCAGGAGCGCGTCGCTGCGGGTCGAGCGGGCGAGGGAGAGGCCCGCGGCCACATGCTCCTCCGCCTCCACCAGCTGCTCCGTCTCGAGCGCGACGGCGGCAGAGACCAGCGCGAGCGCGCCCTCGAGCCTCGCGTCCTGCCGCGCGGCATCCTCGGCGGGCAGCCGGCGGCGGCAAGCGGCGATGTAGTCGGCGGCGGCGGCAGCCTCGCCCTCGTCGACGCAGACGAGCGCGAGGCCGAGCAGGGCGCGCCCCTCCCAGTGGCCCGCGTCCCGCCCGAGCGTGCCCGCCTGCGCGCGCGCCTGCTTGAGCATCAGCTCGAGCTGCTGGCGCGAGCGGGAGAGGTCCGAGTGGCAGAGCGCCCGCAGCGCCCGCTCCTCGACGAGGCGGAGGTCGTCGAGGACGAGCTCGAGCTGCGGCTGCGCCTTGAGCCGTGCGCGCACAGCCTCGAGCGCCTCGCGCGGCTCGCGCGCCTTGGGGTCGAGCTTGATGGCTTGCGTCAGCGCGGCCGCCGCAGCCTGCGGCTCGTGCAGCGCGTCGAGGCACTGCCCCAGCCGGAAGTGCGCCTTTGCGGCGGTGCCGCCGCTCTGCTCGATCACCGTCTCCGCCTCACGCCGAGCCGCCTCGTAGCCATGCAACCGCAGCAGGCACGCGCACCTGTTGAGCCGGCACTTGCGCGCCTCCTCGCTCTCGGGCGCGCCAGCGAGCGCGGCGATGGCCGCGGCGTAGCGCTCCTCCGCCTCCGAGTAGCGACCGGACTTGAAGAGCGCGTTGCCCTCGGAGCGAAGGGTGTCCGCCGTAGTCATTGACGGGGCAATTGCCGCGGCACACTGGTGAAATCTTGAAAAGAAAACCTGCTAGTCCGCAGGTCTTGGGACTCCGGTCGGCTTCTCTCGAGGTCTCGAGATACCCACAAGGCCAAGATAAGGTGGGTGTCTGGCGAGTACTTCCAGCCTGCTGTGAAAACAGCTGACGCAGTCTCACCGAGGCTCGCGCCCCAGCCTCTCGGGTTGACTCGGCCAGACTAGATCCCGAGAGGCGTGGGAGTACCTCGCCAGGTGGGTGTGTATATGGCGCTCGACGCCGCAGAATGGCGGTTTGCGTCGGAGTTTGCGTGGGACGATGGTGGCACAACATCGCCGCCGCTCGACACGCAGCCCGACGACCTCATCGAGTTGATCGGCTCGTACTCCAGCGACGTGCTCGAGCCAAGCCACCTGGGCCGCCTTGCCAGGACGAGTACATGCATGCGGCGGCTGCTGGCAGAGCTGCTAGAAACGCTTCGGGCCGATAGAAAGGCGGCGCTGCTGCTATCCCGAAAGGTCGCCCCGTCGCTGGCAGACTTTCTTCGCGAGCGGCCCACCGCAATCTTCGCGAGCGGCAAGAACATCACGGAAGCAGACGCGCCGACGCTCGGCCACTGGTTACGCAGCGAGGCGTCGTCGCAACTCGAGCTTCTCAATCTCAGCGACAATCCGCTTGGCTCCGCGGGCGCGGATGCCATCGCCGCCGCCACGACCACCGGCAGCCAAAGGCGTCTCAAGCGCGCCGGCGGCTTGAAACACCTCAGGAGCCTCTTCCTCAGCGGCACCGAGTTGGGCGTCGACGGAATGCGGCACCTCGCTGCATGCATCGGCGACGGCGGGCTACCCAGCCTGGAGTGGCTCTTCCTAGGCAACAATGCCGTCGGCGACGACGGCGCCAAGGCCCTTGCGGAGGGGCTCGCCGAGAAGGAGGCGCCGGCGCTCAAGACGCTGCACCTTGCCGACAACGGGATTCGCGATGCGGGCATCGTGGCGCTAATGGCTACGGCGGCCGAGGGCAAGCTGGCGAGTATCGAGGAGTTGGTCCTCGAGAAGAACCGGTTTGGTGACGCGGGTGCCGACGCGCTTACGGCGTCAATCTCGAAGGGCAGCTTGCCGAAGCTGAAGTACCTCAAACGCTGAGTCGAGCCGCCCTGCCCCAAGCGTCCGACTCATACGGGGCCCGCGGCGCGAGGCTCGTGACTTTGTATTATTGGGGTGGGCGTCCAACCGCGACTGCGAGTGAAAGAAAAGGACGACGTTAATTAATTCACCACCCAGAAAATGCAGAAAGGGAAAAGAGAAGGACCATGCTCCATGGATCGCACAGGGGCGGGGACCTGTTCCTTTTTACCCATCTCACCTCTCGAGAGGTGTCCGTCGTTTATGTGGAGGGGTTGTGGATAATCCGGCCTCCATGGAGCGCCGGGTGGACGGAGATCGAGACGGAGGGGGCAGCGGTCAGGGCGCGCGACAAAGAAACGAGGGAAACTAAGACGCATTTCATATCGCCTGGTGAACGCTGGGCGCCAGACCGCCGACGGGTGCGTTGTCTTGCCCAAAGAGCCATCTCTTCGGCCCGTACTGGTGTGCTGGTGGGACAAACCTGCAGGCCGCGGGTGGCGGCATCGGCTGAAAGCGGCTCGCGAAGTCCTGAACGCAAACGCTCGTCGAGTTGACCAGGGAGAGCGCGACGTCGCTTGGTGCTCGGATCGGCTGCGATAGCATCGTCCGTGCCGCGCTTCGAAAGAAGAGGTAGCCCGCCGTGCTTATGATTGTGTTGGGGCTGTCGTGGCGGTGCACGTCGGCATGCCTATCGGAGCTCTCCACCAGCGGCTTGCGTCTGCCCATCATCCCTCCGAGCGCCTTGATTCGCATGTCCTGCCGATAGGCGCTCAACCAAAAGATGCCGGCGTCGCAAGGCACCCGATACGGCGCGAGACTTTGCCACAGGCTGGTCGGGACCATTGCGTCATCCTCTAGCATGAGTGCTGCATGCGCAGCAGGGCGATTCAGCAAATCGGCGTAAGCGAGGGCGTGCTTGATGGCTAAGCTCAGCGTCCCATTGGCCTTGAGCGGATCGACGTGAGTCGCGGGCTGAAAGCGGGTGGGCTGACCCTCGGGGTGAATGCACGCACGCTCCCGTGCACTGAGCGCCGCAACCGTATCGGCGTTGGCACATTCGATCAGGGTCACATCAGCAGCTCCGAGCGCCGCCACGCGCCTCGTGATCGCCTCCAACCGGCTGCGGAGCTGGGGCACCACCGCGACGAAAATGGGCACGGATGCAGTGGCGGCCGGGCGGCCCAGCGCCACGCGGCGCATGCAGCCCCGCGGCGAGGCGGCCATTCTTTGCAGCAAACGCTGCAAGCAGCGCTGTCCGGCTTTGCCTCCAGGGTGCGAGCCCACCACGCCGTCGTCTTCCCAAGCTGCGGCACTTGAGTTGCTCGACAACAGCGGGCACAGGCGAACTGGAGCGTTTCCAAGGTGCACCGTCGCGGTTGGAGCGTCTGTGTCGTGTAGTGGCAAGCCGACAGATCGGAACCGCGTCGCACCCGACGCGGACGCGTTCCAGCGCATGCCGGTGAACGTGTGCCCGGCGGGCGGCGAAGCACAAACCGCGAAAGTTGGGATATAAAAGAAATGCTTTTGGCTTCCCGAGCGCATGTATGGTCGTGTGTCGTACACTGGAGCGGCTCTCCTGGCTCGTGATCTTGTTTTTTCTTTCGCGATATAGGAAGCCGCCGGATATAACTGGGGCCCCGGACGTAAGGGGAGAGATTTTTGTATTTTGAAGACCAGCAAGAAATCACGGCTCTCGCAGAGATTTGGGCTCGGCAGCTTGTTAGCCCTCAGCCGAAGCTGGGGCCGGTCCCGTAGCCGAGAGAGCCCGCGCCGTAGACGCGAGGGTCGCCCCCCCTTGCCCCACCACCTCGTGTGTGTGGAGAAGTTTACCTTAATCCTTATAGTTAGGCCGTCGAGCGCCGCCCTGGCATCCTCGCGCTTTCGCTTCCGGCGCATCGCCTTCGTCTCCTTGCTGCGCAGCAGGGTGTAGTTCGGGCCCACCTCCGCCACGCTGTCCAGCACGTGGACGGCGCTCGCCATCTCGACCGCGTCGTCCTCCGGCGGAAGCTCCGCGTCGCCCGCGGCCGCTTCCCGAGCGCGCTCGTCGCGCATCCGCTCGTGGTGGGCCTGCCGACGCGCCACGCCGGCGCCCGTGTGCCTCGCCGCCGCGTCCGGTGACGGCATCGATCGCTGCCACAGGTCGTCCCAACAGGTCGTCCCAACGAGGTCGTCCCAAAGGACACATCCAAGCCGCCGCATTTCGCCCGCCGAAAAGTCTCCCACTCGCGCCCTCCCCAAACCTAAATCGTCTCTACAGTCACATACATACCTTACCTTACACCTGAACATGCAAGCAAGAAGCATACCCTTACCCGTACTGTGCCGTACCAAAGTGTGAACAGGTTGGAGCAGCAGCTCCTGAGCACGGCGCCGCAGGCGCCTGTTGATAGGTCCAGGTGATAGCCCTGGATGGGCAATGCATACGCCTCACTGGGCCTCAGATCCCCCGACCGCGTCCCGGTGCTCTGTGGTCGGATTTGTGACGCCGCCGCACCGCGCCGCGGCCGGGGGCCCTCCGGAGGCCAAGGATGGCCGTGACGGACCGGGACGAGCTCTGGGAGGTTCAGTGTCAGTGTATATATTGTAGAGATCAACCATGTGCACAATATCTCTCAGTCTAGCTAAGCCTGGGAAGGCGATGCTGGGGCCGTACAGCAGCTTGATGGTGCTTCGCCGGCGTGCGTCCCGGAGCGGTGCCGGACGGGCGGTCCGTGGGAGGAAAACTCAGGACAACGCCGACGCCGCTCTGATTCGACTTTTTACTTCAAACAAAGACAGTCGCACGCGCCGCAGCGCGGCGCGTGCGACTGTCAGCAGCGGATCCGTCAGTTAGTCGTGTTCACGCCGGGATCGTGTCCTGAGTAACCTGCCCAGACTTTAGTCCACGACAGTACCCCAAAGAGCAAAGACTATAGTCGAGCGCGTCGGAAAAGAGGAAACATCTCGCGGCGATGGAAATGGAGGCGGCCGCTCTTCCTCCGCGCCCCCCGCAAGGCGCGCGATACATAGATTCAAAACAATTCGCAAATGGCCAAGGTGTGTGTGTGCGTGCGTGTAGCAGGCACTATCAGGCAAGACCCTCTGGGGTTGGACTGCCACGATGCCACGAACACAAACACAACTCTGGCCTCTCTCATCGTGCCACCACCTTTGGCAGCACAAAGCTGCGCCAGACGTCCGCCAGCTCCGGAGCCGCTCCCTCGCGGCCGTCGAAGCGCTCCTCGTCCCACGCGATCAGGTAGCCCAGTCGCATCACCTCGACCGCCCGCTTGCGAGACGCCTCCGGGAAGAGCTCGTGCGACTGCGGCGACCACTCCGCCGCCTTGAGGACCAGCCTGCCCACCTCCACCGCCTCGGCCGCTGGCTGCAGGTTGGCCGGCCTGAGGGAGGGCAGAGGCGTGGGGTGTCGAGAGAGAGAGGATCCGGCGAGTGGGGGAGAGACCATGGCGCGCCTCAGTGCGAGTGCCTTGGCCTCGCCCGCCACGCGCACGCCGAAGCGGCACGTCGAAGCACTCGCGGAGACGACGACGCCGACCTTGCCGTTCATCGAGGGCCGCGAGACGAGAGAGCGGATCTTGACTGTGGAACCGACGGCCGCAGCGGTCGGATCCGACTCGCCCCACGCGCAGAGGACGCGCGCCCGCTTGAGGGCAGAAGGCTCGCCGGCTGAAGAGTCCGCGCCGCCGCGCAGCAGCGCCCGCGCCCGCTCGACGGTGAGCGCCTGCAGAAGAGGGGCAATACGCGTGAGGACAACGCGCTCACGCCTTCGGCCGCTAGTCTCGGGCACGCCTCGAGGTGCTGGAGCGGCGTCCAACCGCGGCTGGCGACCAGCCAGGCGGCGAGGTCGGGGTGGCCTTGGCGGTTTGCGGCCTCCTCGGGCGCGCCAAAGGGCGTAGCGGCGCGGGAGGCGCCGTAGGAGGAGAGGAGCTTGGCGACCTCGAGGTGGCCGAAGTGGCACGCGGCGAACAGCGGCGTGGCACCGTCGTTGCGGGCTTGGTTGGGCGCCGCGCCAGCCTCGAGGAGCAGCCGGACGATCTCGAGGTGGCCGCCCTGGCACGCCATGAACAGCGGGGTGATGCCATCGTTGCGGGCTTGGCTGATCGCCGCGCCCGCCTCGAGGAGCAGCCGGGCGATCTCGAGGTGGTTGTTCTCGCACGCGACGTTTAGCGGCGTGGCGCCGTCGTCCTTGGCTTCGTTGACGGCTGCGCTCGCCTCGAGGAGCAGCCGAACGCAGTCGAGGTGGCCCTCCTGGCACGCCATGTACAGCGGCGTGAAGCCTCTAGCATCTGCTTGGTTGACCGCCGCGCCAGTCTCAAGGAGCAGCCGGACGCACTCGATCTGCCCTTCCTGGCACGCCATGATCAGCGGTGTGACGCCTTCAGCGTCTCCTTGGTTGACCGCCGCGCCCGCCTCGAGGAGCAGCCGGACAATCTCGAAGTGGTTCTTCTCGCACGCAACGCTCAGCGGCGTGGTACCGTCATCCTTGGCTTGGTCGGGCGCCGCGCCAGACTTGAGGAGCAGCCGGGCGATCTCGAGGTGGCCCTCCTGGCATGCCTTGAAGAGAGGCGTGGCGCCAGTGTTGCGGGCTTGATTGGCCGCCGCGCTCGCCTCGAGGAGCAGCCGGACCATCTCGAGGTGGCCCTTCTCGCACGCGACGATCAGCGGCGTGTAGCCTTCAGCGTCTGCTTGGTTGACCGCCGCGCCCGCCTCGAGGAGCAGCCGGACCATCTCGAAGTGGTTGTTCTCGCACGCAACGCTCAGCGGCGTGATGCCTCCAGCATCTACTTGGTTGACCGCCGCGCTCGCCTCCAGGAGCAGCCGAACGCACTCGAGGTGGCCCTGCTCGCACGCGACGATCAGCGGCGTGAAGCCTCCAGAGTCTGCTTGGTTGACCGCCGCGCCAGCGTCGCGCAGCAGCCGGACGATCTCAAGGTAGCCCCTCTCGCACGCGAGTAAGAGAGTCGACGCGCCTTCGCCGTCAGCCGCCCCGGCGCTCGCGCCGCTGTCTAGCAGCAGCCGCACCGCCTCGGCTTGCCCATGACGAGCGGCCCAGGTGAGCAGCGTGTCCTGTTTCTCGGTGTCGAGCCGCGCGTCGAGCTGAGCCGCGAGCGACGTGCCGCGCGTCAGCCCGGAGAGGAGGGCGAGAAGCGAGGCCAGGTCGCCCTGAGCCAGGTCGGCGAGGAGTGGGCGGATGTCGCCGCTCATATCTGTGTGCACACATGTACTACCCGGTGATGGCGGCGGACGGGCACTCGTACGAGCGGTCGGCGATCGAGCGCTGGCTCGCGACCAAGTCGACGAGCCCGCTGACCGGCGGCGAGCTCGAGCACAGGATATTGATCCCCAATCACACGCTACGGCGGCAGATTGGCGAGTGGCACGAGGCGCATGTGGGACGGTAGGAGGGAAGAGGGGTGGCCTGGCCTCCATGTCCATGTCCATGTCCATGTCCATGTCCATGTCCATGTCCATGTATGTCCATGTAGTTGTGGAGAGTGGAGATTCTAGTTGGTACACGCGTGGTGAGTACGGTTTTCTACGTTTTTCTTGTACAAAACGCTGACATCTCCCCCCGCACCACCAGCACAGATTTTCGCGTTGTTGCAATGTTGCCGCCGGGCCCCCCCGCACCCCCCCCCCAGCCCCACCCCCGCTGCCGGTGCCGCCGCCGAGTTCCCGCCAGCGAGCCGTCTCTTTTTACGAGGTTGAGCTAGTAGAGACGCCGTCGGGTCTACCCGTCAATGCGGCAGGTGGTTTGCTCTGGCTCGCTGCCACCGCGTGCAGTAACACAGAGGTACACACACTGGAATATGAAAGAATTTTAGGGGCCCGTAAAAATTAATGGAAATAAAAGAACCCTCGCTTCCGGTCCGACACACACAGGTAACACAAAAAACGCAAAAGTAATCGATAGCCACCTCCGCTCCCCCCCACGCCCACGTACCCTTTCCCACCCACCCACCCACGACGTAAATCGGCGGGTCGGGCGCTTCTACTACTTATCGCGGCCATTCTGCCGCACTGCCTGGGCTTCTCGCCCTCGAGGCTTCGCCCCCACCTCGACGTGCGTTGACGACGACGCTGTGGTGCCCGCGTTTGCCACCGCCCTCGGGGGCTTGGTCACTAGAATCGGAGCCGCGCGCGAGCCCGTGCTGGCGGAGGAGGAGGATCCGGCTCGGCGGGCGGCGCGGCGGGCGTGGACGCATTACTTTGCGGCGCTTCTGCGGCGCTGACGCCGGGGAGATGCCGACGTACGCTGACGGGTGCCCCCTCGTGGGCGGGTCTGTGCTGCGCTCTGTAGGTGCTGAAGCAAAGGAGTGGCGAGGCTCGGCGAGGAGGGGCCGGCACTCGTCCCGCGTCGGGAGCTGGTGCAGGGAGAGGACCTACGCGGCGGTGGGTCGCTCGGTGAGCTGACTAGGGAGAGGGCCGAGCGGGGCGGCAGCAAGGCGCGCGGCGGCCTTCAGGCTCGTCCGATGCACCTCCACCCGCGGCGGCGGCCACTGCTTCCCCCGCCCTATCACTGACTCCTTCTGCAGGGGCTCCGCCTCCAAAGACGAGCGGGGGGCCAGGCTGCCCTCACCCGACGCCCGATCACTGCCAGAGCCAGAGAGCAAGCGAGACGGGGTCCTGGGGCTCCTGTTGGGTGGTATGGGGGGCGGCATCGCCCGATCGGGCGCACGGAGCGCCGCGGGCTTGAGGACGTAGCCACCGCTGCCGCGAAAGAGAGCGTCGTGGAGCTGCACCGGAGCGTCGTTCGTCTGCAGGTTGAGCGCCACCATCTGGACACCCGCGCGCCACGCCGCCTGTGGCGGGGTTGGGGGAGGAAATGTTCGCTTCGCTTGTGGCGAGATGGGGTGCGGGGGGCTGGGGGAGGTGGTGGGAGCGAGGGCGGGACGCTCACAAGCGGGTTGGGGTTGGTCGACAACCATCGAGTCGGAGAGGGGAAAGTTCGCACGAGCTGGACGGCCGTGGCGGGCAGCCACCCTCCCTCCTCGCTCGCCAGCCGCTCCAGCCGCTCCTCAGACAAGCTCACGACACCTCGGCGCGGCAGCTTGGCGGCCGAGAGCTCGCTCGCCGGTTCCTCCGCTGGCCACGGGCCGCTCTGCAAGCAGGTCGAGCTTAGAGACCCGAGGGAAGACTCGGAGATGTCCTGCGTGGCCCTGCTGTCGCCGTCGCCCTTCGCGTGGCACTCGAGAGGCACGCCGCGGAGCCGGCCCCAGACGCCCCGGTGGAGAGAGCGGCCGCTGAGCTCCTTCCAGCTCCCCTTGCGGTCGAGCCGCCTGCCGCTGTCGTCCTCCACGGGCGGCGACGAATCGATGGAGCACGTGGGGAGGGTGACGAGCGAGCGGAGGAGCGGGTCGGTGATCACCCCTCCCCTATCGAGCCGCATCTTGACGAGCACCTATTAGCCGTGACGTATCCGAGATGTCGAGCTAAGCCCGAGATCACCCTCGTCGAGCCGCAGCGTGAGCACCGTCCGGTGCAGCTCGCGGAGGGTGCTCGCGGCCGTGGGGCGCTCGAAGGGCGACCGCGGCGTGCGCAAGAGCATGTCGCCGAGCGTGTCGATGAGCTCTTTGGCGACCTTCTTCTGCTGCTTCGCCGAGCAGTGCATCTCGATGCTCAGGATCACGGGCAGAGGACTGCTGGTGAAGGCGTGCTCGGCTATCGCGGCGACCACCTCGCCGAAGGCTACGCTCCCGCAAAGGAGAGAGACCCCGCCCGGCATGCGATGAGTGACACGCGGGCCCTGGCCCGACCACCGCCCGTCCCAGCAGTCGATCTCGAGGCAGCGAGTCCCCGAGAGCAGGAGGCGGCGGTACATGTCGGCCGAGGCCGCAGAGGTGAGCTGGTCCCCCTCGAGGAAGCTGTTGTGCGACGAGGCGATCCAGTAGCTGCTGAGCGGCTCGGTCGCATCCTCCGTCGGGGCGCTCCTCTGCTCGATGGCGCTGTTGCACGGCGAGAGCAGCAGCGCGGCGAACTCGTGCACTGAGACGAGCTCAGACTCCTCCATGGTGGCCTCGTTTGGCCGGGTGGCGCGGAGGCCTGCCTTCCACTCCTCCCACAGAGTGCGCCCCCCCGCGCCCTGCTCGTTGAGGCAGAAGCGAAGCAGGTCCCCCAGGCTCAGCGACGCTTTCGACGCTTCCGTGCTGGGCATCCTGCTGCCCAGCGAGAACGCCCTGGTGAGCCTCCCACCCGCCTCAGGGTCTGCGACGTCAGCACAATGGCCGTGGCGGTGCGAGGAAACCAAAGAGGCGAGCCCCTCGATGAAGGGCGTCGTGTTCCGCGTCGCCTGTAGCCACTCCCGAAGCTGCGCGGCCTCGCGCGCGGCCGCCCCCCACAGCTTCTGCTCCAGCGCCGAGCGCTGCTCGACGAACGGGCGCCGCTCGACGTCGGGGGGGGCTTCGGTCGGCTCCTTGTTGGCCCTGCGGCAGATCCGCTCCCACACGGCGTGCGACGTAGCGGCAGGGCGCATACCGTGAAGGACGGGCAGGTGCGTGCAAAGCCAGCGGCAGACCCGCCGCACCCCTCGCGCGGCACCGACGCCGAGGCGCGCAAGGGGGCTCCGCGCGACCCACAAGCCGAGGAGGGTCCACGGGCTCGTGCCGTGGGCCGCGGCGATGCGCAGCAGCAGCCGGAACGTGGTGACGCAGAGCAAAAGCACGCACAGCACCAGGGCGCCAGGGAGTGCAATGCTGGTCCATTCCGGCCATCCCATGAACGGGCTGCCGACCTGCGCCGTCAATGGCGCCGTCAATGGCGCCGTCGGTGGCAGCGCAGGCGGCGGCAGAGGCGGCGGTGCCAGCGGCGGCGACGCAGGCGGTGGAGGCGCACAGTTGACCCTTAGCTCACTCATCCTGCACGTTTCGCCGCTGACGAAGCAAGCCGACCACAGGCCACCGCCTCGCACCTTGGCACTGCCGGCGCAACTCTCCGGCGTGAGATCGACGCA